ATAACAAAATTCTTGATTGTAACTGGTTCTCCACGCACCTATTTATCACATAATTGGTGCATGATCACATAGGTGTCCAATTACTGGTATTCAATTTGAACATTTTGTAAATGGATACCAATGCCATTTGCACTTCAATTACGTGCACTTTAATGAGAGAAAAGTGTCTTGCCCAAGTACACAACACAATGTCCCCGGCTGGGCTTGAACCTGGACTGCTCACTTTGGAGTCGAGCGCACTAACCATGAGGCCAACGCGCCTCCCACAAAAAATAGACTACTACTATTTCAGACTACTGCATTTAAAATGTCTTAGTGTCTGTTTTCTCACCTGTAAAATGATGGATCCACCTTAGGAAGAAACTCAGAAAATTCTCGACGTACGGTGTCTGTGATTCTCCTTCTCATAGCTGGGGAGCAACAGATCCCACGGACAGTGCCTACAAAGGAAATCAAAGTAGAAATTTTTACTTCCTGATCATGACCCCCTCCCTTGGTAATCTCAGAAGTACAATCCCCAAGTCAAATATTGCTTGGAATTCTTGTCATCTACTGTACATAGCGATGATCATTTTACGAATTAAAACTATTGTTTGGCAAAAAAAAAATCAATGTAAGGTGCTCCTAAATAAATTTAGAGAAACACTGATCACAAAGTTTGTTTTCCTGTTATTGATGGATACTTATTTTTCACTTGACACTTATTAGTCTCTCCCCTACTAAGTCACTAAGTTTAGAGACTGAGGATTGTTTATTAACACAATACATGTATAACTTACCATCATCTAGTATGCCTGCCATTAAAACACCACCATCTGAATTCAAGAAGGCAGAGCCATACTTCCGGACATGCTGCAACCAGGTGAACAAAGATCATAAATCATTTTGTAGCAGCCTGTCTATGCCCCATGCCTCTAGTCCCTTGTGGTGCTATAAAGTTGCTAACATCCTCCATGCAGACACCTCCCGTAAATGGGCACCTAGGCAACGTCCCACAGTTGTA